GATTTCCAAATTATTGTCTGACGAATCGATAGGAAATTTAGGCAAAAAGTATTTGTGTTATAAATAGAGTCGAGATTTTATTGAATTTACTGCTGAATGGCATCTAATGGTAGACTAGAATCACAAATTCTCGACACTTTTTGGCTGAAAGTCATGTGAAAAATAAAATTTTAATCAATGTTTTTGTAATTTTGTTTAGAAATTTTAGTATTTTATAAAATTGAGTTAATTTTTAAATGTAATTAGCATTTAGAAAAATTTGTTAAATAATTTAATTAAAAATCATTTTCGAATTAATTTAATTATTTAATTTTCAATTATAATATATTTGTAGTAATAAATTGAAAACATAACTTATAATAAGTAATGTAAAGTAGCTTGGTGTTTTTTGAACCGTATATTTAGATATATTATACGTTTAATGGAATTAAAATTTAATTTTTTAAGTTTATTATAGACTTCTTTCCATTAAATTTCTATATATTTTATTAAACTAAAAGTTTTAGTTCAAGGTTTCACTTTTGAAGATTATTTTATTTTTTGATTTATTTGATTCAATATATTCTCTGAATATTTCATGAGTTTATTTCAAAGATAGTTTGCAATAAATAAAACGTTTGAATACAAAATAGAGATATATTTTAAGGAGAGATTGTATTTCATATAACTTTTGCTTAAAAGTTAAGCAATTTTTGTACCAAAAAAATGAAGAAAATCTAATTAAAACAATTGAATTCAAACCGAAACCGATTTAATAAATCATTTACACAAACCATTGAAACGAAAGGGTAGCCAAAGAATTGTGTTAATAGCGAAAGGACTGTCTGTCAGGAGATCGCTGTTAACATAACATAGAGTCTAACCTCCGATTTATTGCCACTCTTTCGAGAGCCACTCTTTAACGCAAACACTATTGCCTTATAATTGAATTATAAGGTAAAGACGTTTCGGGATTGTGTTGTGATTTATTCATATACCCAAACCATATATATTATATATACCGGGGATTAATAATTGATTTGCAATTGTGTGTTATGTGTGTTTGCATCGCATAGACATCACATGGCCGGGCAATTCACCCGTCGCACCGATGGGAGTGCCAGAAAAGGTTAGCCTAACTTAATTGAAATGTTAAATATTTATTATTGTTGTGAAATATTAATCGTCTATTCGTTCCCAATCTATATCTCTCTATCTCCCACTCATTAAGAATATATTTAAAAAGCATTTATTTTGTTGTTATCTCTAATATATTCTTGAAAATTATAGTTCAGTTTGAAAGTGAGTTTTCTGGAGGAACCGCCGTTTATAAACTCGGTTCCGCCCAATAACGAGACCGGAGAGTGTGAAGTGAGTCGTGCCGTACGCTGTCGGACAACCGAACCCATAAGTGTCGGGTCAGTAGTTATTTTATTATAAGAAAGTCAAATCAAACAAACAAAAAATAAATAAATACAAGTGAAAAATGTCAAAAACAATGAAAAAAACTGATGATTGATTTGTCAATTACTAGTAACAAGAGCTCGTCGGCCAGTCGTGTTCGGTACGGCTGTTGCGCCGGTTTTTGTATCGATTTATTGCAAAAGTTTGCCGACGACTTGAAATTCTCGTACGAATTGAATCGGGTAGAGGACGGGGCGTGGGGTGTACTCCGGGTATGTATTCTTCAACTAATATAACGCTCCGGCATATGCTGGAGGCGTCTTGTCTTAAACAATGGCATTTATGTGTGTGTGTTTCGCCCTCCGGAAGAATGGTTCGTGGAATGGACTGATAGCGGATCTACTGAACCACAGGGCAGATATGGTCGCGACGTCCATCAAAATAAACTCGGATCGACAGGCGTTCGTCGATTTCACGGTCCCTTTCCTGGAGACGGGTATCGCTATAGTAGTGGCCAAACGAACCGGAATTATATCTCCGAAAGCGTTTCTCGGTTTGTGTGCTATTCTTCTCTCTTCTCTCACTCTTTTATAAGTTATAACTGTTTTAAAAAGCTTTCAACTGAACACCACTTTTGTATTATTCATTTACGGCTAATTTGTTTGCTGAGTCCCAATGTGTAGCCCATAGTTATATAACAGCGCTTGTGATATACACTTAAACCGTGCACTCAATTCTGTGCTTCACTAGTAATAGACTTAGTTTTTGGCCAAACAATACAAATGTCTACAGTATTGTTAACTAAATAGAGTTTAACATAACCAGCAGTCTCTCTCTCTCTCTCTCTCTCTCTCTCACTCATAATGGGTTCGGTTGTACGACAGCGTACGGCACGACTCACTTCACACTCTCCGGTCTCGTTATTGGGCGGAACCGAGTTTATAAACGGCGGTTCCTCCAGAAAACTCACTTTCAAACTGAACTATAATTGAAACGAAATTGTTGTCCAAATTGGAATTTAACTGGAAAAAGGGAAATACAGTCCACTCTTATCAACAAAACTGCTACTCTTTTAGTCTTTTTTTAGTCGATTTAGTTTTGCATTGCATTTGTGTTTCTGAAACACTTTATTTCGTCAGTCATTCAACGGATCTGTATTTGTCTTTCACTCTTTCACTGCCCATAAAAGTGATTGCATTTCCAAACATATAACACACTATTTTGTGATATTTATTTAATCTCAAAGTTTTGCACAAATTTTAAATAAAAGTTAATTGCGTTTAACGTATTGACTGAATGAAAGGCAATGCAAATGTCATTTCAATTGAAAAATACATTTAAATTATTGTTCAAAATTTTTAATGATTTTTATTGAATAGAAGGCGATATTTAATACAGAATTTAAATACAAAATAATTCATGCATTTATTATGGAAAAAATTAATACAATATTTAATTGTATTATAAATAATAAATATGTTAATAATTTATGACAGCAAATGATTTACATATTTAAACGATATATTAATTTCAATAATTAGTCAATAAAAAGATTGTGTTTAAAGGAATGGGAAAGTAATTTAGATATATATCGCCGGTCATAGAATTCCTATCTTCTGAGCTGAGCATCGATGGCCTGATTGGCCAATTTGTCGGCCCTCTCGTTGCCTTTAATACCTGAATGTGCGGCCACTTTAGTCCACACAATGTCGGCTAAGTGTTGGCACACATCCGTCAGTTTCTGGAAGTCGTCTTTGTTGATCACATCGCGGCCACGGGTTGTCTTCCAGCCGTTTTGACGCCATTTCTTGACCCTGTCTTTCATCGACTTCACTACGAAATCGCTGTCTGTCCTGATTTCCACTTCGAGTTGATCTTCATATTCGCTCTCATCTCCGCCACAACTAATGGCCACTTCGAGGGCCCGAATGACGGCCCATATCTCTGCCCGAATGCTGGTCTTTCTTCCGGACAATGGTTCGCTGAAATCGCGTTCGGGACGAGTGGGGAAATGGACACCAATGCCGGCGATGGCCGCAGCGGTTCCGTTGTCACGACACGCGCCGTCCGTATAGATTACCAACCGATCCGAATAAAAACCATCGGATGCTTTGTGTGGCTTTGGTCTCCAAAAGTTGGGATCATAGATGGCTCGGCCGGTGATCGGACATCGGGTACCGCCGTTCACGTAATCCCACGCCTCAGACAATGTGTCGAAACTCTTGCATTGGTTGCGCGAAAAGCCAGTGGTCTGTCTCTTACAGTCTTCCCACGTGTAGTAAACTCCGGGTTTATATCCAATCCTTACGGCAAAATATTTAACCATTTTTTCGGTACTTTTTGGTCACCAAATAGTGGTTAAGCTTTGAATGCAAACCAAACCAAACGTTATGTTTTGCACACGTTTTTGTGTCGCAAACCGTTGTGTTTGACTCACATTTGAAACTAAAACAGCAATGTTTTGTAATATGAGATCAATATAACGGTACAAAAGGGTTGAATTATTTGTTTACAATTAACTTTTTATTAACGTTTACCGATAAATAACCATGGTTAAATTTTATTCATTTTTCTTTAATTTAATAGAAAATAATTTTGAATGTAACCATAAATGAGACAAAATAATGGTTTAAATACAGGATATGTTTTATAGACATCACAATTATAACAGAATTTTAATTAAATTTAAGATTTGACTCAATGAAAGGCAATGCAAATGTCATTTCAATTGAAAAATACATTTAAGTTATTGTTTAAAAAGTTTTAATGATTTTCATTGAATAGAAGGCGATATTTAATACAAAATGTCATAGAATTTGAATACAGAATAATTTATACATTTATTACGAAAAAATAAATACAATATTTAATTGTATTATAAATAATAAATGTATTAATAATTTATAACAGAAATTGAATCAAATAGTAAAACGTTATAAAAATTTCAATAATTAGTCAATAAAAATATTGTATTTAAAGTACTTTAGATATATATCGCCCATCAGATGATCCCTAATGTCTTCTAAGCTGATCCTCGATAGCCCAATGAGCCAATCGGTCGGCCCTCTCGTTGCCGGCGATACCTGAATGTGCGGCCACTTTAGTCCACACAATGTCGGCGTATTGGGTCCACTCGAGAAGGGCTAAAAAGTCCTTCTTATTCTTGACGGGGCGGTCATCGATACACTTCCACCCGTTTTGCTGCCATTTGCCGATCCATTTGGTCATCGAATTCACTAAGAACTCGCTGTCTGTATTGATCTCCAGAAGACATTCTCCCAATTTGACAGCCGTTTTGACGGCCAGTTTGGCCGCGTATATGTCGGCACAAATGTTGGTCTGCCGTCCGGGCAATGGTTCGCTGATATAGTCTCGCCAATCGGGGAAATGGACACCAATACCGCCGATGGCTGAAGCGGTTCCGTTGCCCCGACACGCGCCGTCCGTATAGATCTGGAACCGTTCCGGACATGTCTCATACGAATTGCCACAACCCATGTCCGGCACTGGTCTCCAATAGTTGCGATCATAGACGGCTTCGCCAGTGGCCGGAGATCGTGGGCCGCCGTTCACGTAATCGACCGCTTCTTCATATGTATTGAAACGTTTGCATTGATTGTATGGATAGCGATGTGTTTGAGTCCAGGCCTCAGACCAGTTGTTATAGACTCCGGGCTGTCGTCCAATCCTTACGGCATAATATTTAACCATTTTTTCGGTACTTTTTGGTAACGAAATAGTGGTTAAGCTTTGAATGCAAACCAAACCAAACGTTACGTGTTTTTTACACGCTTTTGTGCGCAAACGTTGCGTTTGACTCACAGTTGAAACTAAAATATTGCACTCAAAAAAGCTCGACACGAATGTCATGTGTATCGCAAGGGATACAGTATTAAACTTGTACTTTGAACTTTGTCAAAATTACTACACTAGCAATAAATGACCATAAACCCATAAATCCTTTTCGCCCCACATGTTTTTCATATGAACACTGAGACCTAATACTGCAATCAATGATTTGGACTAGTTTATTTTAAACTAGTTATATTTTAAATTTAATAATTTTGAATTAATTATAAATGAGAGAAAATATAATATATGTTTTATAGACATCACAAATTGTGATTCACAATTATAATAGCATTTTAATTAAGCCAATTGTCTCTTTTGAAGCACTTTTACAAAACCTATTATTTAATGGTATATCAAATGCAATAAGTTTTACCACTCGTGTGTATGAATTCAAAACATTAGGTTAATATTTGTATTACAAATGCATAATATGAATGGTATTTTTACCAAGAATAATAATTTGTTTTAGAATATATTTTGGGGAGAATGTATTGGTTATGACCAAATCAAATATGTTAAATTAACACTGTTAATGGCTTTATGACATTACAATACAATATGCACATTTATTTAATAACTATATCATCCAGTCTATCATACTGTAAAATAGCAATGCAAATGTCATTTCAATTGAAAATACATTTAAGTTATTGTTTAAAAAGTTTTAATGATATTCATTGAATAAAAGGCGATATTTAATACAGAATTTCACAGAATTTGAATACAGAATTCATAGTATTATTTAATTCATTATTTAATTGTATTACAGATTATAAATGTGTTAATAATTTTTGGCAGCAATTGATTTAATTACTTAAAGGTTATATTAATTTCAATAATTAGTCGATAAAAAGATTGTGCTTAAAGTAATTTAGATATATATCGCCGATTATCTGATCCTTAAGATTTGTTAAGCTGATCATCGATGGCCTGATTGGCCAATTTGTCGGCCCTCTCGTTGCCGACAATACCTGAATGTGCGGCCACTTTAGTCCACTTAACACTCTTCACGAGAGCGCACGCCTTCTCCAGTTCTATGAAGTCGTCTTTATTGATCACATCCTCGCCGTTGGTGTCCTTCCAGCCGTTGTGGCGC